CCTGGAAAGAACAGTGTAATGACTAACTTCTGGAGATCAAAACACATGTCTATCTGCCATCTGAACAAGGTGCCTCAAAGATTAGCCAGTGGTAAATGATGGTCAGATGATAAAATACCTCAAATCTGTCCATGATACTGGGAGTCACTGTCTACAGGTCACTCTTTGTCTTTTTCTTGTCAGTTAATGAAATCAAGAAGTTTTCTTTTAAAAAAAGAAAATCTAATCTCTAGTTTCCAAAGTCTTTCCAAACTGGATCTTTGGGGAACAAACTCTAGAAACTGTTTAAACCAGGCTCTTGAATTCTGTCAACTCCACCTTGGAATTGTCCCATACTCAAGTCAGTTCAATTCTCCTGATTACTTTAATAAACAGTTAAGTGGGATGAAAAGCACCAGGGTTCTCAGAATCATCTAATCCACAGTCTTTGCTCATGGACCACCCCCTTCAGCCCTCCATGTTATCTGCATCCCTCTGGCATTGCATATGAATTAGCACGTGGGCCCGCCCCCAGCCTTTCCTTTGCCTTGAAGATAGAAACTGGCCTGTCTCTTGCTGAATGTGGACTTTACATTCTGAGCCATTTGGTAGACCACCAGAGCCTTGGATAGTTCGGGTTCCAGCAACTGCAGCCTTCCTATCTTTGGCTCTGCCAGTTGAATGTTCTGTGGCTTACTCTCTGAAGGCTCCATGGAATGACATAAAGCTCCAAACCGGAGGTGCAGACCCGGCATTCAGAATTCTACCGGGCACATCTTGGACAAGTAAGGGCCTGCCCTGCAGCCCTGTGGGGAGCTCTCCCCTTTCCACTGTTTTGCACTGTGTGCTCTGTTGGCAACTGGCAACGGCTTTGCTATCTCCAGTGGCAGCTTACCGGGAAAAGTGCACTGGGCACCCATTTCATGTGGGTACGGAGACCAGTCCCCAGAGCCCAAAGCAAGCTGCACAGAATGTAGGTGTTTACGGTTTTCTTTGCAAATTATTATGCTTGCCCATGGCCATCCGCATTCAGGGAGGCAGACTCTGTTCAAACCCTTCCAGACTGTCACTGGCTCCCTTTCAGGATTTGTTTGAACCCAGACCTGTTTCCTACAGCCAATTTACACCTCTTATCTGATCATCCAGTCCAGACGGAAGGTTGAATTGATCGAGTCTTGCCCGTGTCCATGGCAATGGTGTTAAAACCAAGCACAGATCAAAGCTCTCCTGGCAAGGGAGGGGCGGGCAGGGGAGGTGGTTATGGAGTCCGGGTTCTTTTGGCCCCAAGCAGACTCTCGAAGGTGGGGACTTTTGGGCTGAGAGTTGCCACCATCTAAAGAAAAGACCTAAATGATTTCCTGAGTGAAACCCAATCCACCGCGGATCGGGATGGACTGAGGGGAGTTTCGAGGCCCGCAGCTCACAGAAAGTGACTAGCGCCAGGGGGCTCTCCTCTTGGTCAGAAACCAAGAGGAAGGGAGGAGGGAGGGAGCCGAGCTGGGAGCCGAGCTGGGAGCCGAGCTGGGAGCCGGGCTGGGAGCACGCGCTAATAAACCCGAGCGTCATTCCCTTACCCTTCCAGAAGAAATTAAACCTGAGCCGCAGAAGCTGCAACACGGATGGGCGGGATCCCGTAAGGTTGGGCAGGAAAGCTGATCCCTGCACCCTCTCCCCCGCCACGCAGCCACCGAGATGATTCGCAGAGAGGCAACCGCGCCACCCCACACAGCCCCTTCCCCGCCTCCCTCGGGACGTGAGCGGACCGAGACCCGGCTCGGCGGTCGGGCGCCAGAGACCCGGTGGGAAGTACGAGCAGCGCAGTCCGCCGGAGGCGAAGGGCGGGGGCAGTTATTGAATCACAGCGCACCTCGCCTCCACGAACTTGTGTTGATATTAAAAAGAAATCAATCAGTGAAAATGAAGCATTGGCCGTGAATATGTCTTTTTCTCACGTGGAAAAGCAAAGAGCGAGGTGGCAGAGGAGGGGAAGTGGGACGTCGCCGGTAACTGCAGAGGCTCTCCAGAGAGCCGCAGCCCTGTCTCAACTTTCTGGCATTGGGCAACGTCGAGGAAATGCCGCAAGCTTCTCCCGGGGGGTGTCCTTAGTTAGGGGGAAGCAGGGACGAGCCGGGAGGAGTTGGAGGCGGCCAACTTCGCGGAGGCTTCAGCCTCGCTTTTGCTTTCCCTGGGAATATTTCTGCCTAATAGAATGTTTATGGATCGCTCGGCTCTGTTTCTGCTGCGTAGCCCTAACAAATCGATGCGGCCTTAGAGACGGCGCTGGGTGTGGGGGCTGGGAAGGGATAGCTCGGGGCCAACACGTCCCCACCACGTGGATGCCCGCACGTCGCGTGCTCTTCACCTGTTCAAGGCGCACAGAAGCGCGCTCGCCGCGTAGCGCTTTCAAGGCTGTTCAAGTTGCGCACATTCCTGCGGCTCGAGCTGGCTCCTTCTCATTTCTCAGGCCTCGGTGACGAAATCCTACCCCCGCTACCCAGCCACCCAGCTCCGCAAGCACTTGGAACCTCGGCCGGGTCGACATCGCGCTCCAGACCCTCGGTGCCAGCTCTCCAGGGGCCGTGGCGAGCCTGCGGTACAGAGCAGAGGGGAGCGCGGGGGGAAAGGCCAGCCAAGCGGCCCGGCGTTCCCAAGCCCCAGCCGGAGGGAGGCAGGCGGCTGCGCTATGTGGCGAGGCTGCTTGGTGAGAAGGGGAGCCTAGCGCGCGGCACCCACACGACTTCTCCACTGCCTACCAGCCCAAGGGGCCCAGCGCTGCTACCTCGGGGTTGTTTACTCAATTATTGCTCCCCAGCGCACACCTTCCGCCCCCTTTCCCCCAGACTTCTCGGAATCGGTTCTCGGTGGCTGCCCCCGCCGCCAGCGGTTGGGCCGGGTGCCGGCGCACACCGGGTGAGTCAGAGGTCTAGCTCAGCCTCGCCCTTTGCCACCCGCTGCCAGCTCCCGGAGTGCCGGTCGGGTTACTCAGGCTAAAAGCTCGAGCAACCTGCGGTTTGCGATCGCCTCTGCGGGTGGGGTTAAGAATATCCACCTCCCGCCAGGTCCCAGCTCCAGGTCCCATACTGAAGAACCACACCAAGCCTGAGGCCGCCCGAGGGTAGTGAGTGCCCTGCCCCAGACTCTGCGCCTCTGGGCTTCTCTGGAAGTGACGCAGCGCGGGGGGTTGGGATGGGAGGGGGGCTCTGCAGAGAGCGAGAGACAGGTGGCATAGCCGGAGTGGGTTCCAGCGGGTGTCGCACACACTCGTACACACACTCCACGCCGCGCTTGGGGACAGATGTGCGAACATCTGGGGTAGGAGATGGCCCCTGAGTCTTCACGACCCCTCCCCTTCAGCGCGGCACGCGGAATCTAAGTTGTTCGTGTGTGCGCGCCGGTGTGTGTGCTAGTGTGCGCGCACTGGCGCGCAGTGGCCTACCGAGGTCCATGCCTGAACGCATAATATACCGTGGGCATCCTCCGGGCGCGCGTGCACACACACACACACACACACATACACACACACACAGTTAATCACAAAAACATACATAATTTACGCAGCATCCAGGTCTGTGGGAGATAAATGAATTTCGCTTCAAGCTGAGAACTTAGAATTAAAGCAAGGGGAAATGGGGAGGCAAAGGAAAATTTCCCAAGTGCGACCTGCACCCATCCATCCCTTTGATGCCATATGCAGCTGCCCTGAAGATCAGTGATGGCAGAGAAGGTGCTGCCACAGATTTGTGCGGCAAAGGCACTCTGAGTCTTCCTCCCTCTCAAATAAACACCCAAGTGCAAAGCAGTGTGTGTGTGTGTGTGTGTGTGTGTTAGGGGAGAGGCTAAGAACCAGAATACCAGGTGTGAAGCTTGCCTGTAGGACCCGCTAGCCCATGTCCTGAGCAGTGCTTAGAAGGCTGTGGGGAGCAGTCCTAGCACCTTGGCCATTACCTTCCAAGTGCCTTGGAGTAAGGGCACACAAGGGTCTTTTCCCTCTCCTTTTCTTATTTCCTCCATAGATGGTTTCCCCAACCCTAGTCACCTGCAGCAGCTGTTAAGAGTTTGGTTGTCAGATTCCTGACACTGTTCCCAGAGGAGAGTGGTCCCAGTAAAGAAGGACAAGCCCCTCTGGATTTCCCCAAGCCAGAAATCTCTTTTCAGGGAGTATACACATTGCCTGCCCCCCTCCAACTCTGGCCTCGGACTTTTCTGGGCCTGGCAGGGCTTATCTCTGCAGTCTGTCCACATACCTGTTTTGGCAGTGGTTGAGAACAAATTCCACTCAAAAGTTTCTAACCACTTCACAGGAGTGAGAGAGACCTCCGAGGGCCATGCAGTTTGCTTTTCCTAATACCTATTTTTTAAAAAGAACATGTGATTTACTTTCTCAGAAAACACATGTCTGTAGGAAAGAGCAGGGGCAATGAACTGCCTTGGCTGCCCACAGCATCCAGCCCCAAGCCCCGGTCTCAGTCACAAACCAGCTTGCTCCACCAGCACAAGCCCTAGGATTCTGAGGCGTATCCACCCAAAGAATCTACAGCATCTGAAAACCAAAACTAGACTCTTGTCTTTCCCAAGCCTTTCTGTTAACATTGCTCAATGTAGCTAAGTGGAGGGAATGCAAATGATTTATATTTCACTGGCTAGGTTGAAGAAACTCAAGGGAGATGTGTTCTGCTTCAAGACAGAAAAAAAAAAAATCCCCAAAAACTGTAATGCAAAGGCTTTGTAGTATTTTTAAACCTTTGATTCAGTCCATATGTGACATCTGAACACCGCCAAATTCTGTCTGTTTCAAAACACACACACACACACACACACACACACACACACACACTCCTACCAGGACAGAAAAGTTGGTTTTTCTGCAGTAGTGGTGGTATAGGCAGGGTTGGTTGGGATCTTTTAAAATGATTATTGAAGAAGCCTCTTTCTGTGTGGATCTGCATGGCCTCCCTGCAATAACAGTCGCTTTTAAAGGGAAATCATGTTGAAATGAACAGAAAAAACTTTCATGGGCTTACCTGGTTGGCCTCTCACTTCCTGGGCTGAAAAGTGTAGAGCTAAGAGAACCCAGGTGAGGGGAAACATATCCATTTTAGAGAAGGCGGCTTTCTCCAGAGCTGGGTTTGTAGGTTTCTTGTATAATTATAAGTCTTTGTGTTTTTTTTCCTCTCTCTTATCTTCTTCCTTACAACGTCTTCTGAAAAGGTTTCTAATGGTCAGTGTTGCCCTCCGGGGTCCTGGCGGCCCGTCTTCACCTTTATTCTTGTTGGAATCCCCACCTCACCAGGAGGAGGGTAGCTCCTATAATCTGGAAAGAGGGAGCAAGCCGGGAAGAGGGGACCGGTCTCCTCTCAAAAACAAAACGCATCTATGTTCTCTCCAGTTCCTCAAAGTGTCATTTCCTTTATCCTACAACATCACGAATATTTCCCGAAAGCCGAGCGTAAATAAAAAAGAAAAGAAAAGAAAAGCCAAGACTTGCCTTGGGCATCACACAGCCCCAGGCAGCTGTGTGATCTCAGAGGCGTAAACTGACACACGTCGCCGTGCACCCGGGACGGACACGCGGGCCGAGACACCGACCGCCGGACAGCCGGAATGGGAGGCAGCCGCCCGGCTCTCGTCCTCTCCGGGTTCCCCTAGCGGGAGCCTCCCCCAACGGCTACACCCGCTTGGCCAGCCTCTCGAGGGGAGTCTGAGGAAGGAAGCTGCGGCTGCGGCGGCGGCTGCTGCTGCGCTGGTGCGGCGGCGGCGGCTGGGATCGCCTGGGAGTGTGCGAGCCCCTCTCCGAGTTCGCTCGCGCCCGCTCTCACCTCCACCTCACCCAGCGCCCGGCCGAGTGTCTGCACGTCTGAGGATGTGCTGGGGGCGGGCTGCCGGCTGGGGCCTCGCTCGCGTTCTCTGCCTCCCCTCGGCTCCCCCCTGCCTTTTCAGGCCGAGCAGCATGTGGATGTCAGAGCCGCGGCAGAGCTATCCGATTACGCGCCGGCTCAGGGCCCGCCCCTTCTGTGTTCCTGATTAAAGAGGCAGCCGCGAAGACGCGCGGCGCAGAGCGGAGTGCGGCTGCACCCAGCTCGGGCGGGGCGGCGGCGGTTTCCCCGCGGCCGCCGCCAGATCAAAGTTAAGGCAGCTCCTACCTAGCCACCCCTCTCCCACTCCGCACTTCCCGCCTGCCCTGCACACCTCGGTGCTGGGCGGCGGGAGCGTAACGCCGCGGCAATGAGCGTTCCCGGGCACCTTCGGGGCGCGCTGCCCTTGGCCGCGCGTGAAGCCGGGGGAAATCCTTGCTCCCCCTAAATTCCGCGACTCCGATGCCACACACGCAGTTCCCAACACAATGCCACGCGCAATGGCGTTCCAAGAGGAGTTGGGTGGCTACGGTGTTTGGGGTAGGGAGGCAGTTGGCAGCTCAGCCATGCGTTCACGCAGGCAGCAGTGCGTGGCGGCGACACACACCGTCAGCCTGGGCTGAATAAAACCCCAAACACTGCCTGCGTTTACTACTCAGATCCTTTGTTGTGTCCTAAACACGGTCCTCTCCCCCCCCCCCCCCCCCGCAGGGGGCGCGCCCCCCCCCCCCCCCCCCCCCCGCCAGGGTGAGGGTTTAGCTATCCCTGCGTCTTTAACTTGTAACTCATGAGAAGCCAAAGAGTTTCTTCAGCAAAGAATTTCACCAGGTAATTAAATTGGATTTCAACCCCCAACCTCGCCGCCGCCAGGAAAAAAAAAAAAAGACAGATGCATCAAGTCTTCTGGAAATGCTACTGTAACTACTTCTATTCGCATTTTCCTAATGGAAATGTGGTCACAATGCTGAGAGAGAGAAAACAACATTATGCCAACTATTTTTAAATGGAAGCGTGAAAACTGTTTAGAGGGAACTGCAAGTTAACAGTTGGGAAACACTTGCATCTTTGTTCCTAAGGATGGCTTCATGGATTCCAAACTGTCCTGCTTCACTAGGCACCTATGACTACATTATCATAAAGACCCTGCCAGGAGCAGCCTAAATAACACCCTGCACATACCTTTTCTGCCACTCTGCGGATCAAGAAAAGAAAGATTCAGTGACAAGAAACACACACAGCTTGGCCTATCCCAGTTTCCTTTTGGCTTGTCCTTGTGGGCTCTTCCTGGTGGTTTCCTTCCTTATCTGGACTGGCCATTAGCTTTGTTTATCACTTGTAGTGTTTGAAAAAATCTGCAACTCCCACTTAACTGTTATTTACGCAGAGATAACCAAAACAAAATTGAATCAGAAGTGATTTGCAAATAGTTGAGCCAAGTCATAGAGGGATTTTACAGTGTAAATCCAAATGGGCTGAGGATCACACTGTTAATCTTAGATGCCAGGTTGGAAAGGACACAGAGCAGAGGCCTCCTGAGTTCTCCCAGGGAGTTTACTCCCCGCTGGCCTAAAGGCTACCTTTCCTTTCATTCTCACTATCCTTCCCTCCCACCCCTCTTCCTTCCTTCCTTTCTGGGCTTGAGAGTACATTCACATTATTAAAAACTCCAGCTTTACACTTTTCCTGTTTAAAGTTCAATTGTAAAGAATGACTCCCAGCTCTAAATATTTAATGAAGTGAAGAGACGGTCTGGATTTTGAACTTTAGGCAGAGATCCCAGCCTGTCATCGCCAAGATGCTAATCTAAGGACAAATAGCACTATCTGCAGTGACAATCCCCAAACAGAGAGAGACATTTAATATCACCTTCCCTCACCGCTCACCAGGCAGGCTGAACCATTTTAGCAAGTGCCTGATGTGGGAGGACCTGGTTTCTGAGGAAGCTGTAGCCAGTTTAGGCGAAGTGCACCCTACCAAGGGGAGAGTGCAAAAAAGCAAACGGAAGTCCATTGGAGAACCTTAAGAATGACAACTTCAGATTTCTGATTTTGTGGTGTTAGGGTTGAGTGTTCCCATCAGGTGACTTCGAGGATCCTTGGTCAGGTAGTCAGGGTACATTTCACTGTTCTGTTCTTGGACCTGGTTCCTAGCATTATGGATTTTCACTTTTCAGAAGTCCTAAAGGGGGAGCTAAGTGACTTCCTGGGAGTCCTCTGTATCGCTCTTGCAAGTCTGCTCGGCAGTCCACTTGAATGAAGGCCTGGTTCCCTGCAGTTGGGTAGCGGGTGACTCTTCAGAACCCTGGAGATTCCAAGCAGCCAGACTAGTTTTTAATCCTCTAGGGGGCAGCACCCAATAAATAATGATAACACCACTCAAGTGGTGCTTTCACTTCCAGGAGCTCAAGAGCTTTACCAGACCTGGGAAGACTCAGACTGACACCAGACCACCCCCAGGCCAATCTGAACAAGACCCCTTAGGCCCAGGAGGGCTTAAGGTTACTTTAACCTAGGACTTGCAAGAACTCTTGGAAATTAAACACAAACCCCATGTATGACACATGGAAAACGAATCTTTAGGGAAATTCTCCAGACTGGTACTGGCTCAGACCTGCCAGCTTTCTTTTCATCTAGACTGGAATCTCAGGGGTTTGACTGCAGTTGGTTTGGCTTCAACCACAAGTACGATGGTCAGGAGCCAGGTACCACACTTTCCAGTATTTTGTGAGTCCATGGGGAAGTCTATCTACTAAAAGACTAGTCTTCGTGTCCGGAACAATAGGCTTCTAAACAAAAACACCAACCTGGCTAGAAAACAGCTACCTAGTGAGGCTGAGATCTCTGGCTACATCTCTGACTCACCTAAGAGGTTTCACATCATTATCCTTAATTGTAAAATAATAATAGATAATCTCGCCCTACATTCCATTCCTTTGACAGGAAGGGATGTGGGGAAATATAACGTGGATTTGGAAATGATGCTAAGAGAAAGCTGTTACCCAACCACACTTCAGTGGAAAGTGGAGTGTTCCCAGCTAGAGAGTCTCAGACCTGAGGCTGCACTAGAATCACCTAGGGAGAGTGTTAAAATTTCAGATCCCTGGGCACTATGTTCCTGTAGATCATACTCCTTGGGTCTGGAGTGATGTCTCGGAATCTATATTTTTAATACACATTTTCGGTGACACGGATGCAAAGGCTCAGCAGGTCAGCAACTGTGTAAATATAATTGCTTTGCCGTTGACGGGTGCCTGGATGAGCCTCCTTCACATTTCCTTTCCAAGCACTTTTCAGATTAGGGGACAAATGTTCCACATTTCTGGAGAAAACCACCAAAAACATATGCCTTAAAATGCCAGAATGGTGAGATGTCCAGTTTTACCTTGTGATTTTTTTTTTTTTTTTTGCAGTAACTGTAGAGTGTCTATTTGAAAACACCAAAACCTTACATCGTGGGAGTGGGGAGTTTGCAGGGACATGTTCAAAGTATCAGCTAATGGGGTTTATGGCACTGGATCCGGCCCTTTCACCACCGACCCAGCCAACCATCGGTTGTTACTAGAGGTTTGTTTCAGGTACAGTTTTCCATCTGTGTTCGTCACATTGTACTTATTAAATGCTCATGGATGCGTGACTATGCAGGAGGTGTGCAAGCAAGACAGACATTTCGGTCTCGTCTCCTGGGAACACAGAATCTAAAAGCTCCAGAAGTTTTACGCTCCACAATAGATACCACCTGTCACATCGAGCTTCCCCTTATCTGAGCCCTACCATCGACAAGCTCTCACCCTGAAAGGGGGAGATAGGAGGCATAATTGCATCTTAATCAGTAATTTACCCCCCTGCCCTTGTTAATGTTTAGCTGCATCTGTCTCAGAAGTAAAGCTTTAGTTAAAATGTAATAGAGCCTCATTTTTTATTCTCTTTTGTTTGACACCGAAGTCCATGTTTCTGGTCAGTAGGGTTTTTCTTATTTGTTGCTTTAAACAAACAACATTTTTCTTTTATCTTTTTTTTTTTTTTCTCAACATGTTTGAATACAGCCTAATAGTTCCTATATGATATCATCTTTCATGGTTTCTCAGAATCCTTACAGAATTCCAAAGTGGTTTGAAACCTTCCCTTCAACCATGGGTGTGTCTCGTCTCTTCTTCAGATACAGATCCTAGATCTGGTAGGAAGAAACCTTATGAATGAAAAATCAAAGAAAAGAAAAAAGTAGAAGCACAGAGTATAAAATTCCATGCAAATATTCCTAGAATCTTTGGCAAAGAAAATTGGAGAAACTGTATTGCTCCCTCCCCTCTGCTTGACTTTAGGATGAGGCAGATCTCCCACTGCTACACTATTTTTTTTTTTTTTTTTTACTCTTTTTATTCTTTGGAGACAACAGTTCATCAAAAAGACCCAGTGTGCCCTTAGTCATAGACGAGCACTCTCCAATACAACTTTCTACAATGACGGATGTATCTGTGCTTTTCTCAAGGCTACTGAGCATTTGAAATCGGGCTAGTGTGTCTGAGTCACTGACTCTCAGGTTATATTTAATTTCATTAACTTAAAGTTATGTTGCCATATGTGCTTAACAGCTACCATTGAGGACAGCTCAACTTCAGGTAATCAAGAGAGCCAAACTGGGTATTTCCTTCAGAAACCGGGAGAAACTCACACTCTTCCAAATCGCTGAGGCCACCACACTTGCACTGAGAAGGGAGGCCCAGCATTAGCAGAAGCTCTGACTGTCAAGGCACTATTCGAAAATGCCAGGTGTCTATTTGGTTAAGGAAGAGAAGGGATAGCTCACATTGTTTTCCATCATCCTGCACCTCTTCTGTGCCCTCTTGGAAGTCTTTTCCAGAGCTCTTGGCAGGAGTCAGGGCCTTCCCGGTGCTCCTCTGTCTGCTGGCCTTAGTACCAGTCCTCAGTGAAGACCACACAGACTTGGGTCTCCATTCAAATGTCCTTATTTGGGATGAGTTTTCTTACCTATAGAATGAGAGGTTAGTTTGAATGACTTTTACCTTTACTCGGTTTTGGTTTTTATCCAGGGCTCTGTCCTGATCCCATTCCCACTCATGGATTTAAAACTGGTTTTAGCTTGCGTTCTATAGGGCATACTAAGTAATTT